AATTGCAAATTGCATTTACTGGAATCCTTTTATGTCGTTAGTAAACATGCTGACAGCAACAGCCTCTTGCTGAGAGCTTTAGATGAAGGTCATGTTCTGAGGAGTGATATTACCCAGGTGATCTGAGAGAAATACAGAGGTCAGAAAGCCCAGGTGTGGAAGGGGGAGTTGACCTTCTTAATTGTCAAAAATATGTCCCAACCATCTAAGTAATAGAAGTCACCAGGCAAATATGTGATAGGTTCAATTCAGAACACACAAAGAAGAGGGATGTATGCATTTCAAAATGAAGAGAAGGATGATTTCAAAACCTGCATCCATCCTTCTGATTTCCTGTCATTTCTTCCTAAGATTCCCTCACTCATGGTTAACTCTTCCTTATCTACCTTATCGTCTCTGTCTTCTGAAAATGATTCTTTTTCTTTTCTCTGTAAAACCAGAAGTAGACATGAATTTCATAGCCATCCAGGAGGTGAGTTATCCCCTCATGAGCATATTCTAGAAGGAAGAATGTACTCAAGGGAGGAGTTTACTGAAATATCTTTAATTTGGCACAGAGGGAAACAAGCCCTCTATTGAAGCAGGAGAGAGTGACCGAGAACCCACCACATACAAGCGATGGTTCATCTTCACCTGATCGCTGAGCAATGGGATCTGGCTTCTACTAACAGTTACAGACGAGACGCATGTGCAGAGCTGGCGAGGGCACCAGGGCCAGGGCCGCACCCAACATGGGGGCTGAGACACACTCTACTCTTTTGACCACCACACATCCCCGAGGTGCCCAGTGAACTACACAGAAGACTTAGAGAGAGGCTTTCTCACTCAGCCAGCCCCGATTGGGGTCCCAGGAGAGCAGCGGAGTCTGGTCAGGACCTTCGGATTCCTTCCCGAGTCTCTGAGTCAGTTCCCTGAGGAGGATTTGCTTCTAACTGTGCCGAGGAAGGGTTGTCTGGCTCTTATTACTCAGTGTTGTAACTCAGAGGAAGAGGCCCTGTCAAAACATGTACCTCACTTTTTAACCAATCTCACATAGAACTTTTAGAGAGAGAAAAAAGGCAAGAAACATTTCTGCTGGTAGATAATCGCACAGTCGTGACTCAGAGTGCCAGGGAGGTACATGCCTGTGTCACCCGAGCAGAACTTAGTTCATCAGAATGTCCCTTTAGATGCTCAACATCACTAATCATTAGAGAAATGCAAATGAAAACTACAGTGAGGTATCACCTCACATCAGTCAGAATGGCCATCATCAAAAAATCTATAAACAATAAATGCTGGACAGGGTGTGGAGTAAAGGGAACCCTCTTGCACTGTTGGTGGGAATGTAAATTGATACAGCCACTATGGAGAACAGTATGGAGGTTCCTTAAAAAACTAAAAATAGAACTACCATATGACCCAGCAATCCCACTCCTGGGCATATACCCGAGAAAACCATAATTCAAAAAGAGTCATGTACCCCAGTGTTCATTGCAGCTCTATTTACAACAGCCAGGACATGGAAGCAACCTAAGTGTCCATCAACAGATGAACGGATAAAGAAGATGTGGCACATATACACAATGGAATATTACTCAGCCATAAAAAGGAACGAAACTGAGTTATTTGTAGTGAGGTGATGGACCTAGAGTCTGTCATACAGAGTAAAGTAAGTCAGAAAGAGAAAAACAAATACCGTATGATAACACACATATATGGAATCAAAAAAATGGCTCTGAAGAACCTAGGGGCAGGAGATGAACAAAGATGCTGAGGTAGAGAATGGACTTGAGGACACAGGGAGGGGGAAGGGTAAGCTGGGACGAAGTGAGAGAGTGGCATGGACATATCTACACTACCAAATGTAAATCAGATAGCTAGTGGGAAGCAGCCGCATAGCACAGGGACATCAGCTCAGTGCTTTGTGACCACCTAGAGGGGTGGGATAGGGAGGGTGGGAGGGAGACGCAAGAGGGAGGGGATATGGGGATATATGTATATGTATAACTGATTCACTTTGTTATACAGCAGAAACTAACACACCATTGTAAAGCAATTATACTCCAATAAAGATTTTTTTTTAAAAAGTCCCTTTAACAGTCAGATCCTCAGGAAAGCAACTGCGGCAGGGACATGGATGTCCCCAACTCTGTGTGTGACACCTGCTGAGAAGGTCACGGGGCTGGCCGGGCAGAAGGTGGAGCAGGCTGATGCTCTCCTGCCTTCAGCCGTGTCCTGCTCGCTCTGGGAGCACTTCTGGGCAGAAAGGCATTTGCAGAGTAATTCCTAGTGTCACTTAGGCGACATTCAAAGCTGTAAACGTGCATCTGCTGTGTAAACAAACAGAGGCGAGAGCTGAGTGAGCTCACAAGGCAGGAGGAGCACCCTTCCCATGTAGAGGGTTCCCTGGCCAGGAGTTCACGTCAAGGGCCATGGAAAGGCACTGGGGACCGTAGTATTTTGGAGCAAGAGGAAATACCTTACATTTTTAGCAGCCCTATTATTGTCAGAGAACCTGAACTTCAGGGAGGTACACGACCCCACAGATGTTCACACCAGTGAGAGCTACGATGGGTCTGGCTAATCTAGTGATAATGCATCTATTTACTGGTATTTCATGAAAAGAACAATTCTATTTTTAAGCCATTATATTATGATTTCAAAATCAATAATGTCAAATCTATATGGAATTGCCTTAGAAGGATCTGATGGAGATGAAACCGAGCAGGACCCTGCGGGGCTACTGGGCATGGGAGCCTTTCTGTTCCACTCCAGCCTCCGTGACCATCCCTGAGTCCCAAAGGGCTGGTTTAAACAGTTGCTAATCCAGGAAGGGAGGGGATGCAAAGACAAGGGAGGGGCAGCCAGGAAACCATAGTGCAGCCTTGGGGCAGGGTCTGCTGGTCCCCCCTCCAGTGATACACAGTACACTGTCTTTAAGCTCTTTAAGATATCAGCATTCTTCATAGCAGAGAAGGACCGCCTGAGGCTACATTAAAGGAACCAGAGAAACCTATCAAGAGGATCACCTGAGACCAGATTAGAGGAGTACAGACCCTGCGCACACCCTAATCTTATCAGCAACCCCATCCTTGAACTATTGCTATAAAACTCCTCATCAAGTCTTCCCTGGTTGGGACACAACGTTTTCATTGGCAGGAGTCCACTGTGTCCCCCTTTGCCTGGCAAAGCAATAAAGCTGTTCTTTTCTACTTTACCCAAAACTCTGTTTCCGAGATTCAGTTTGACACCAGTGCAGAGAAGCTGAGTTTTCGGAGTCAGAGAGAGCAAGTTTGGATTTCAGAAAGTTAAAGTAATGGAAGCCGAAAGCAGGAAATGTCCACCCAGCCCACTCACCTTCACCAGACTCAGCGTCTGGATTCGGAACACTTGTGTGTGCTCACATCTCTGTCTTGGGAGGACCGGGGCTCTGAATTCTGACCTCTAGTGACACATTTCTGAATCCAGACGATGTGTGGGTGTGAGCCTGATATGAGGATGGTTGGGAGCATTCGCCTTTGTCACATAAACGTTAACTTTACAAATTGTACTGCACACAGAAGAACCACTGGTGTTGAGAAGAGTGTCTTGCACTTCTAGCATGTGTGTGTATGTTTGTGGGTGTGTGTGCATGTGTGTGAGCGTATTTGCGTATGGGCATGTGAGTGCTGTATGAGTATAGGTAGGCAGAAAAAGGCCACAAAACACATTGTCCTCAAAGATTTTGTCAGTGTCATTGGCTATATGCTGCTCTAAATAAAATCACAAATTATGATTTGTATTAAAAGCATATTTTAAAATATTACAAGGTAACTCCAAATTAATGAGAATAGACTTTAATACACACAAAAATATACCAATTCTCATGCTAATTTTCAAACTTGATTGTTCAGGGTAATTTTAAAAACTTTTTAGCTCCATGTGCATATTTCTGAATTGTTCTGTTTTTTTTATGTATTTGTATGGGTAAATCCTTATTAGGGAAAATACTAAAATCTGTATGGTTGCGTTTTATAGGCTGCCTGTGTATTTCATGGGAGGCTGTGTGTTATCTCACTTCAAATCCCACTTGCTAAGCACCCTGACTATTTTCTCTGTGTTGAGGTATTGCACAGGAAGCAGAGACAGTGTCTTTTAGAGGATTTATGGCAATACTGTGAGAGACCCTCAGAGTCTCTTCATTTGCCTGACACACTCCACTGCTACCCATTAAGACTTGGGCTGTTATTGTCATAGACTAGATTTAACGAGCGTCTCTGAATTTGGAGGTTTGCTCCAGAAACAATAGCTTCAACAAGGAGACCCCCAGCTCTCTCCACTTTCTAATATTCTGGTTCAGCCTTCTCTTTTTAACCAAAATACATCCTTGACAACATGGATTATTTTGAAATAATCTTGGTATTTTCTTTTCCAACTAGAACAGTCGAATTTCCTAATACTGAGACAATCTTTCAGAAAACCTGGAAGAAAAGTTGATAGATAAGTTCTAAATTTACAGTAAATAAGAAAGTGTCTTCTGTTGTTGTTTTACAAAAATAAAATTAAGCTGACATTTAGAAACACCCTTGTCATCAACAAGACTACACTTTGTTATCAATGAAATCACATTATTTCCAAGAAATTGTTACACATCTAAAGTATTTCTCACTTATTAAGTTGTTTCTTAATTGCATCCAAGTGTTAAAGAAGACAATAATCTTACAAATTGGTGGTAATTGGTCAATTTAAATATTAAGTGCACTTAGTTTTACCTTCAAAACTAGACATGTATTTTAAAAAGTTAAATAGCTTGGATTTCAAAATAAATTAACTCAACAGTTAAAAGCACTTTCTACCTGTCCTTCATGGCCATTCACATCAGTATTTCTGAGTAAAATCCTGTATAGTCCTTCGTGTGCAGTTGACCATTTGTAAATGTAAGTCCTTGTTTTAAATGTAAGAGCACAGAGAAGAGGGTTCTTGTCAATCTCCCACCTCAGTTATTCAAGCTGCTGTTGTGTTGTTATCTTGTCCTTTAGAAAATGAACCTGAAGGAGAATTGGTGAAATCACGTCCGTGGGCATCTCTGAACTCTGACCGACTGAGGGAACAAAATTGGACCCAAACAGCACCTGCCGGGCCACGGAGTTCAGGTACCTGCCAGCTGCTCTCAAGGGGCTGAGGACAAGGGTCCCCTTTCCCTGCACCCGCCATGTGCTGCTGAGTCATGACTCCCATCCCAGCTTCTCGGTACTTCCAGGCTTTTGGGAGGTGTTAAAGTCCTGTTGTGCATCCTTTCCAAATAGACAGTTTATGCTAAAAAGAGCCATTGGCAGTTAAATTAGATGGTGCATATGTTGTTCTTGCTACTAAAGCTATACAGGGCAGGGAAGACGCCTGCATCCTTCGGGGTGTCTTGGGGGGTCCCCGGGATCCCTAGTGCAGAGTATGTGGACCCTCAGATGGAAAGGTGTCATTTTGAATCACTGCCCCCAAATCTGCACTTGCTACAGAAGTAACGGGTTAGTAAGGTTTGCCAATTACGGCCTGGAGCTTGGGGATGGGCCTATACCGAATGATGGCTGCCGGGCAGCACATCTTTTTGGGGAATCTCATAGGCTGGAGTCTCCATGACTGTAACGTGAGTCAGTTCCCACCTCTGCAAAGCTCAGCCTCTGAAAGTGTGCAGGAAACTGACTTCAGAAGCGCCGGTAGGATCTTCTCGATGCCTACATGCGGGATCCATTTTACACACGGTACTTTGCTGGGGAAAAAGAGGAAGATTCCGGTGCACTGGTAGTTTCTGAGAACTCCGGAATGCCTTTTAAAGTTCACTGTGCAGTAGTAGTTTATTTGTCTGCCGCCTCCCCCATTTGCCTGTCTGATAATAGAACTACTTACTGCGACGTGGAAGTTAGAGGCTAGGATCGTCTTCCACATACCGCAAGCTTGTGGGTGCTGCAATCTTTAAGAGCTTTACGAACTGGGGTAATAGGTCATAGTTGCTCTAATTATTTTCTTGTCTATATCTTGTTCACTTTCCCCAAAGAAACCTATTCATTGGTTCTGTCTGGGGAAGGCATTATGTTTAATTGTCATTTCCCTGGAGTTAAAAAAAAAAAAAAAAAAACTATGCACATTGAGTGCTAAACTAATAATTGACTTTAAGGTCAGCTAAAGTTTCTGAACTGTAGTCGTTTCATCCACAGAGGTTATCTTGTCTAATCTCATTGAGTTTTAGTCATAAATTAAAGAATGTTTAATGGATATGGGTCTGAATGACATTTCTAGAATGGTGTTAAACGTTCAACATTTTAATGAAGATTGTCAACGTGGTGTAGTACACAGCATTCAAATACCAATCTCACCAAGAATTAAACAAGAATAGATAGATGGACAGATAGACAGACAGACAGATAAGCTAGAAATCCATGTTTGCACTCGGCACGTGGCCTTGAATAGGTTTCTCAGTGGAGGCAGAACACTTGATTTTGAGATGTGTGCATTTTCAAGGCAGATGGTTGGACTCTCTCAAAAAAGATTTAAAAATTCCAAGGCTCCAGCAGGCGCTGGTCTCCCGTTTTGCACTCGGCCTGCCCGGCCTCTCCCGAGTGACTGTCACAGGCCCTGGAGGTGGTCACTCTTCTGGGTGTAAGAGGAGCTTGAGGGTCCTCCAGGCCAATGGGATAATAGTCATAACAGCAAGAGCACAACCAACACTCATGTACAATCTCACCCGGCCTTGACCACTACCCACCGTCTCTCACCCGTGGGGCTCTGGTGACAATACTCCAGAAGGTCCACATGGGGCAGGGCACACAGGGCAAGTGACGCTCACACTTACACTCTGATTTCTGGACATTTTTACCATTCTCTCATCCTTTGAAGATCAGTGTTTGGCCCTCAGGGGGTAATCAATATATATTTGCTTTAAGTGTGTCATAAACACTTTAGTCCCTGGGCGATGAAATAAAACTATAGATTGAAATAAACAGATTAGCATTTTCAAATGAGACACTCATGTGTCATAACAATGGTTTCTGGGACAAAGGATAAATCTTCACATGGTCATCTGTAAAAGGAAAAGGTGTAAATCATCAGTTTGCTTAGACCGGGGTGGGCCAACTCTTTGTACAAAGGGCCAGGTGGTAAATATTTTAGTCTTTGTGGGTCCTGTGGCCTCTGAAGCAGCCACTCGATTGTTGTGGGAAAGGAGCCAGGACAAGGCGTGAGCAAGGGCGCAGGCCGGGTTCCAATAAAACTTTATTCTCAAAGTCGGCAGCAAGTGGACCTGGCCCTCAGGCAGGAGTTTGCCAACCTCTGGTAAATATCTAAATGAAGAGTTCCTAAAAGCCCCTGTCATATTTGGAAAAGTGAATATAACTCTTACTCTCTCCTCAAATTTTATTACTTGCAAACTCACCCAATAGAGTCTATGATTATTGCCTGCAGGGAAGTCGCTCCACAGACAAGCGCTTGGTTGGTGTGTGAGCTGAGTAGTCAGGATGGAGCCGCACAGAGCCAGTGAGAAGGCAGAAGAGCAGCTGTTACACATGCAGAAGGCGGGGCAGGCCCATGAAACCCGTGGGATTTAGAGAGGAGAAAATTTTCTAGTGATTTCATGCCTTTATCAATGGCCTGCCAAGAAGTATCCAGAAATCGTCCTGAAAGTGGTGTGGGTATAATATCAAAATAAAACCCATCCCCAGAGGCGTCATTCCACCTGCACACACAGAGTTATGCGTGTCAAGCCTCAGGGCCAAGAGAACTATTCCATCTATTCCATTCAGTAGTCAGTGATACTGGTGTGAGTCACAAGTGCCATGTGTAGGGGCTGAGCTAGGGAGCAGGCAACACCACACAATTTGGTAAAATGTGATCCATTCAGTCTGTTTTTCCAAACACTCTGTAACTCCAAACATATATATGGAACATAGGCAATAAAACACGGAATACAAAAGACTCTCTTGAATTGCAATAGATTATATGTCAGAAGCTTGATAAAGGGGTTAATCTTGGAAAATACTTTAATGATGCTGTAGATTATCTTCCAAAAGGCTATTTGATGAATGTCTCAAACTTTTTATCTTACTTGAGATGTGAATCGGTAGCATAAATCATTTAGTTAAAACGTGGAATATTAACTAATATTTTCCATGGAAATGATTTGCTAGAATGCATGTGTCTTTAAAGCAGTACTTTGGCAATTAATAAATTATTTTAGAACAGATCAGAACAGGAGAAAATGAGCCGTAGAAACACAACCTATGGACCCTCTCCTGCTGTGACACACTAAGTAGTTAAGAAAAGAAAGGCCGGCTAGTCCCACTAGTTTGATGTCAAGCCAAAGAAATTTGGGCAAAATTTAGAGGCATCCCAACCGGGGAACAAACCCTAATTCTGCCACAGGGTCTGTGTGACTTTGGAGAAGTTATTTAACTTCTGGAATCTGAGCCCCAGTTTCCCCATCAGTTAAGTGGGCATAATGCTTTCTTCTTAACGCAACTGTTATAAGGATTAAATGAGATATAAAGTGTGTAAAGCACTGAATTCTGTCCTTGAGACACAGAAGGTACTTTAGCGTCTCAGTCAGCTGTGGTGTTTTTGAAGGGGACAGTGGGTTGCTTTTAAATATCAGATTGCAGCGGCCTGAGTAACAGCCTTGCCATTCTAGGGCCTGGGGGGTAGCTCCAGAAAGGATTAAGGTGGATCTGGCCTCCCTGATTTCTTGGAGGAAGAAGCTCTTGGAAAAGGGGGAGGAGCTGGCGGGCAGTTGATCCATGAAAGATCCAGAGACGTCACTTCTGCATTTGAAGTACAACCTACCCAGGGCTTTCCCTCTCTATCCAGCACCTTTTATCCAAAGCTTCTCGGTGTCAACTTGGCATTCGGAGAACTGGAGGGTTCCTGACAACACAGATGATGTCTTAGTCATACTCCAAATTCTTCTCTTTTTTTTTTTTTTGGCTGTGCTACGCGCGGCATGCAGGAGATCTTAGTTCCCCAACCAGGGATCGAACCCATGCCCCCTGCAGTGGAAGCGTGGAGTCTTAACCGCTGGACCACCAGGGAAGTCCCTATACTCCCAATTCTTAGCACAGCTCTGGCTTCATGCATGGGGCAGTTGTTGTTAGTTTCATCAATGAATGGATTATTGCCCCGTGTGAAGATTTGTTATTATGCGTTTGTAACATATAAACAGAGGTCATATCGGAATGGCCCCTAATAAATGTGACTGAGCGTGAAACGTAAGGTACAGAACTTTCTCTTTTCATGCCTCAACATTTATGTGATAGAGGTATGTGTATATATATTGTTTTAATGGGGTCAAAAGTGGCAGGAATATTTACTTTTCTCTTTATGCCATTATTTTCCACTTAAATTCCTGGAGTGTGTGTGTCACTATATTAAATGCAAGGTGATGCATTCACTCCACCAAACACCTCACTTACGTGGTGCCTTCTTGAATGTCCGTCTTCTCTTCGCTCGGCCCCAACCCTCCTGCAAAGTAGACGGTCATAAACCTGCAAACACTAACCCCGCTGATTGGAGGCCATCTACTCCCTGAAGTGTTTCTGAGTGTGTGTTTCTTATAGGCACAGCTGGAGGGAGGATATCTAACCTACATTTAAAAGCAATAAATGAATATTTTTTAAATAACAATTGTTAAATAAATTATTGTAAACCTCATCCATACACATAAGTGTATATTTGTGGGCACTTCTGTAAGACATTTTTTGACTCAGCTGCTACATGCCAGACATCATAGATACAAAAAGTGGAATTAGAGAATTGTGCCCCAGACGTGTTCACGTTTAATCATTTAACAGGGAGGGGACACATATACCCCCCAAAACCCACACACTGTGAAAAGAGCTATAAAAGTGGTATGCATAAAGTGATAAAGTATAATGCACCCTAAAAGTGGGAGAATCTCAGTGTTCCTGGGGAGGGCGTGTGGATTCCCGGAGAATTAGCACCGGGGCTGCGGTCCACGGGGACCCACGCGCTTTGCAGACAGATGTGAGTATTTCAGACATCACATCAGCACCTGCAAAGATCCAGAGGTCTGAGTGTGGAAGCGGAGGGGACGCGGGCTGCCATGAGTTGGGGGTGAGCTCTGTGGACGGTGAGGCAACCTGAGCAAGTTTAA